GCCCGGCCCGGCCCGCCGCCCCGTGGAGCGCGGCCCTGCGGCGCGGGGCGCAGTATTGTTCGGATCGCCAGTTCTCCAACCACACACTGGCTCCTTTGCATACTACCCGACTGACGGCCCGCGCCGACCGCTATCCGGGCGCTGCTCCGGGGTCCAGGCGCCTCCTCCTACTGCCCGACCCCCTTCTCCGCCCCATGAGCCCGCCGAGGCCAGCAGCCGGCCTGGTCACCCGAGCTTTTGCAGCTAATAGTGTGTTTCTCCACCCCGCCCCCAGCAAGAGCTGATCTTCTCCCATCTCTGGAACTAATCCCTCCCCCACCAACCGAGCCCCCTACGCACACCCCCAGTGCCCGGAACGAACCTTCTGCCAGGTCTGCCCACCCTCAGTTGGGAGGAGGGAGCTTGGGTTGGGGGCGGGTGGCATGCATGGCACGGAGTAAAAGTCTTTGCTTCCCCTATGCAATCCTTCCCACCATAGCAGCTCCCCTCCTATCCTGACCAGAGTGCAGCAGCAGCCCCTTTTTCCAATCCCAGCTGCCTGGTCACCACTATTTCTTACAAGCATGCTGAGCCCCAACTTTGCAATAAGATGGTAGAAAATGGAATGCCAGAAAACAGCGAAAAGATGTTTTTAATGCAATGAATGGGGAAGAGTTCTTTGAACACCCTCTTCTTCACTCTGGGCTGCCTGCCTGCCTTCCCCTCCCCCTCAACCTGGATGTCTGTCTGCTGGAAAAGGCGCGATTGCTTCTCTTCCTCTTCTAAGACCAGGCTCTAAGGTCTTAGATCCCTATTGGCCACACACCTATCCACACTAAGTTTTCTTGATGTTCTTGCATTCACCAGTTCCTCTGGATAGTTCTTGCTGTAACCCCATTTCTCAGACAAAGGGTTAGGAGGGAAAAAAGAACCAAACTGCTTCCTGTGTTTGCCATTTTAATGCTGTCCATACCCACACACCCAGTCCCCATCCCTGATGCTTCTCGTGCCTGTGTCTTGAACCTTCAGGATGAGGAGAAAAAAATCTCCTGGGTAGCTTGATACAGTTTCTTTATAAATCTGCATTGTTGCTTCTGGTTTATGGCCATGAAGAAAATACCAGCCCCCACCCAAAATGCACCGCAGCCAAGTCGGCTAAAGGCGATGAGTGTTGGGAGTCAGTAGGGGGCGCATTCTCTGCACTGGGTAAGGCTGCAGAGGGGGGGAAGGGCCCCACAGTTAGAACAGGATGTGCTTCACAGCGCCTTCTACAGACCATGGGAAAATGGGCCCAGCAAGACACACACTCGCACTCAGTTGGTGAGCTGACAGCAACATGGCG